ACAATGTTGAGACACTTCGATGTTGATTTCCAATTCTCTATAATTGCATGTTGTACACCCAATGTTGAGACACTTCGATGTTCATCGCCAATTTTCCATAATTGCATGTTGTACACCCAATGTTGAGATACTTCGATGTTGATTTCCAATTCTCCATGATTACATGTTGTACACCCAATGTTGAGACACTTCGATGTTGATTTCCAATTCTCCATGATTACATGTTGTACATCCAATGTTGAGACACTTCGATGTTGATCTCCAATTCTCCATAATTGCATGTTGTACACCCAATGTTGAGACACTTCGATGTTGATCTCCAATTCTCCATAATTGCGTGTTGTACACCCAATGTTGAGATACTTCATGTTGATCTCCATAAGCATGTTATTCACCAAATGTTGAGACACTTAGATGTTGACCTCTAATAATTCTCCACCACTGATACATGTAGTACACCCAATGTTGAGACACTTGGATGTTGATCTCTATGTCTTGATCATTACAGCCATGCTAGATATATGAGCACACACTTGTTATTACGTTTAACATTCATTATTTTATATTAGTGTTAAAGTACCATATAATTGGATGAATTATAGACTGAGTGCAAAATTTGAAAATATATTTTGTGAACTGTTATTCAAATATTTGTTACATTGTTGGATAAACGAATGAAAGATTTCATATTTCGTAATACATTTATCTTCCATTAAAATAAAAAAATGAGTAATTACTGTCTGTTGGTGGCTGTCAGTAATTTCCACAATGTTTTTGGTTACAGCATAAAATACCCCATAGTGAGGTACTGTCATTATCACAAACCCATTTCGAAAATTTTATAAATATTTATCAAATTCAAACTGAACAGTGATGTTTTTATTGGCCGATGGAATTATAATATTGGAACATTTTTGTTGCAATTTATAAAAAATAGGGGAAAGTGGGTTTTGTTGCGAAGTAAGACTGGTACTTGTATGTTATAATCTATTTACGAATGTAAATATTTGTAAACTTAATTTGCAGTTACACATTGAATGAGTGTATACAGTGGCGTAGGCTGTTCTAACGTCCTCTAATTTTAATGCAAAAGCTCGTACCCAGCCAAATCCAATCTTAACCTTGGATTTGAATGAAACCTAATTCAAAGGAAGCCGAATGGGTTTATAAATTTTGTTGTGAAGTATAAACATGTCTTACCTAACTTTGGTGTTAATTAGAGAGTTGAAAAATGTTTCAGTATTACTGTTTGTTTGATGACATATTTATAAAGTTTTCAGATATTATTATAATAATGTGAATCCCTAATATGAGTATTATAACATGACTAAAGGGCAGATATCCCTTAATGTTTTCATTTGTTGTTAATTTTCAACTGTTTTTTAGACAAGTTGAACTTTTTGAAATCTACCTGTCGTTCCACTAAGATGGGAATTTAACCTGATCTACATGGGAGTAAGGGTTAACTGGCATGGTCTGTGACAGTTATTGTTTTCTCTCCTAGGCACTCTGCCAAAAACTAGTCAGGCTACAGTGAGGGATACCCTTGTTTCGCTGCATCAGCAGTAGTCATCCCCTCCTCCACATACATGCACCACTTCAAAAAAACTAGATTACTATCAATGTATTCAATAATCTGTTTTTTAATTCTGTTTTACTGGAAATCGTCTACTAAACTAAACATATAAACAAGTCAAAATTATAATATGATGGCATTTAATTCACTGGCAAGTCTGTGAATTTAAAACCTGATGTATTATACTTAAAATAGTAAAATTACAGAGATGGTGATAAATGTACATTGATGGCGTTTACTCCCCACCCCACTTTACTCATACATACAATGTATTCAGGTAATGATATTATTGTAACTGCATGTCCTCCCTACAGCTGTGTTAGAAATGGCTAAAATAATTATGAAAATTAGGAATATATTAATGTATGGTGATTCCGGGTTTTAATCTTCAAATATGGCTACACTTAAAAAAAGAAAAGAAAAGAAGTTTTAGGGCTAATCTGCACTGGCTCGGAAGGTTGTAAATGATTAGCTAGTTTGAATTTCTAATTTGCATAACATTACTGAGAATGAACGTGCATTCAACGCCACAAGTCTTTTGTTTTTTTAGCCAATCAGAATTCATCTTCCGAGCCAGTGCAGATCAGCAGAAGTTTTAACGTGTTTGCTGAGAATTTTAAAAATAGCGCCCTCTGTGACACATGAAAAAAACAAAAGTATTATCCGGTTTGTTATGCCAGCTCCATGGCCTTCTTGTATTTCGCTTTGATGGCGTGTATGTTGAATCTGTCTTACATGGCCGTTTGAAAGTTTACGTGAGATATGGAAAACATCATATTTCACGCCACAGTTCCTCTATGCATAACCTATTGATATCCATCACGTATTTAACGGAAATCGATTCAGCTCTACATGAGAACGTTGTGTTTTGTTTGGTTTTTCACAAAAATAATAATTGCAAGCTTATCAAAGGAACAGTCGGTATGCCGCGTGACGTGTGTTATAGGGCGGTAGTCGTCGCGCCACGCATGCGTGAGATATATGGTTCTCATATAAACAAAGATGGCAATTTTGACTGTTGCGCAGACCAATGAGTACAAACTGAGACGTTACTTAGCTTTAACTATGTAATTTTAGGCGATTGGAAGGTATCGAAGAAATCACTGGCAGTAAATAGTGCAAGTCGGGCCCAGGTCATACTTGAGATTCCATTAGAAGAGCGCATTAAACTGTGAGAAAATCAATGGTTATCGATACATATATCGTATATGCGCAGCGCGACGACCACCGCCCTTTAATCAACACCGGGCGACGACGATTACATTTCGCAAATTACAAAGGTACTAGGTGTTTACAACCTCCAGATATTACCTTGATGTATATCAGGTGCGCCACCACAGGTTAAATAGAACAAGCCGATAGACTGGCGACCCGCTTCGCTTAAACATAATTTTTTCTGGTGTTGCCATGGTAATAGTAGGACCGAATTTGTTTTTCAAATTGTTCCACCTAACTAGGGTGCAGGTGTGACCAGCTTATCAAGTTTGGACAGACAATGTCGAATTCATCAAAAGCACTGGCGTTCACTCAAAACAAAAAAAGTTACTTGGCTCGGCTCCCCTAAAAAATCACCGAAGAGTAAATAAGCCGTTCCTGGCGAAAAATTACCCAACTTCGAGGCTCAATTTCAATTTTTCAAGTCATGGTATTTCTGTCGATTTGTTTGAGATTGAATTTCTGTTCAAATATTTTACCTCTGTAACTTACGACGAACAATATTTGCGTTCTCCTAGTATATAATTAAGCTGCTCTAAATATAAGTGGCATATTAGCGCGCTCTAGAGGGGTTTATAGTAGATAGGCGGTCATAATTTCCCGAAGTTATAAATAAAATAGACAACTTTGTCCATGTTGCGACTACTGCGGTTGTTTTCTACGTTTTTCTTTAAGGTTGGTCTCAATTCGTTCACCTCTCCCCTGCTACACGACTGTACTGGTCTGGCGATCGCTCAATAGCTTATATATAGGTATATTTGTTTACATTTGTTTCCAACCAGGTTGTAAATAAATGAAAATGTCGCTCACTGATCGGCACTAGCTCAAAATCTGTTATGACACATTATGTTATATTCGGGTGCGCACGACCGGTTCTTTCGAAAACGTAAATCAGTGGGTATTCCTACCGCTTGAGGGAATTTATGCGTTAAGACCTTGAGTTATGACTACCTAACTCTTTTATGGTATTGCAACATGTCATGCTTATTTAATAAAATAGATTATCCAACACAATGATTGCGCTCTCTTCATGCGTACCAAATAGTGCTTTCGTTGCAGTTATTGAAAATAATAATAATAAAAAAAAACGTTTATATCTATAAAAAAACACAAAAGCAATGTAACTAAGTTATGCCGCATGTGGACATATCATACAAACGTATTTTTAATTTAAGACCAGTGATTTCCCGTGCTAAATTTCACTAAATCTCCTTCGCCATTCAACTTGAAATATTTGTTTATACTAAGACCGACAATTAGTGTCCCTACACGATGGTACATGCATAATGTTTCATCTTATCACCGAATCCCACGTGTGATTTTCTGTTCGTTGATAGACAGCATAGTGGGAATGGTGTTATAGGTGTTGAAGATCACAAGAGAAATAAAGAACAGTAGAATTGCGAGATGACCACTACTTGAGGACAACATGACCACAAATGTTTTTGATAGACCTACTGATAAGGGCCGGTATTTTTTGATACGTTACACATTTACACGCCGGCTAGTCAATTTAAACAAGTGTCATAATTATGTGTCAAGCTCGAACACAGTTGAAAATCTGTCTTGACGGATGTAATGTTACGACAGTGAACCCCGGCTATTGATCACTGAATATATCTTGAAATGCATACAGGGTGGGATGTAGGCAACAGACAATAATAGAACCGTATAATACGCACATGCACAGTCCCTACAGCACTCTCCCTTTAAAGGGCGTCGGTCGTCGCGCCGCACATGTGCAACATTTTTGTTGATAAACATTGATTTTCCCATAATCCAATGTGCTCTTCTAATGGAATTATAGGTACGAGTTGTTGGCCTGGGCACGACGTGAACTTATTACCTCCTTCGAAACCTTCCATTCACAAATAAAGATAACTTGTTAAAACTTGATAATGTCTCATCTTTGTTTACGAGACCCATATCCCTCGCATGTGTGGCGTGACGACCACCGTCCTTTAACGAACTTTGATATTTCGAGGCTTGGTGTGAGCACAGTCCCTCTATAGGGACTGTGGTGTGAGGTAATCTTAACCTGAGATCACAGCGCCCGCATGCGTACTTGAAACTACGCCACCTACATCAGGAATAATGAATGGTAATTAATGCATGTGTAACATGTAACAAATTTGTTTGTGTTACGACTTGTGTTTGACCACCACTACGAGACACGGTAGTTGTAGTCATAACATGCGCCCTTTATTCGTTGATCAGGTGATAGTTATACTACACTTATATTGGTCCAGCAGTCTATCACGTGATAGTCATACTACACTTAAGATTGGAACAGCAGTCCAGATATGCAAATATACTGTAAAACATGTCTTTTTCGCGAATTTAGCGAGAAAACTGATTCGCTAATTCAAGATGTCGCTAATGGTTAGGCTTTATTATCAATTCAAAAATGGCCGCCAAACAAAGAAACCAGAGAGATTTGCTAAATCAACATTTCGCTATTTCGTCATTTTACCACAATTCGCTAAAATTGCATGCCGCTTTTTCAATATGTTTTATAGTAATTGTAATCAGCATACTGTAGTATATTATTTGTAACAAGAGTTCGTTAGAGACGACGTCAAAAGATCGATGTCGAATAAAAAACTTAATTCTTTTAGTTTGTTTCCAAAACACCCACCCCCACTGAAACTTAATTGATACATATTGATCATGGCGTCAGACTACATTAGTATGGCATAGCAGTTGGTTGTAATAATGAAGCGGAATATACGCATGCTCAAACTACTTTTCAGGGTTCTGCGCATGCTCTAGGTCTCTAGGTTTGACGCACATATTTACACTCGGACCAAACCATTTTTTCATTTTCTGTTATTTTTGTCTATGATTGGATAGAAAAAATCGAACTACAAATACTTCAAGGTTTTTTTGACTTCATTAAAAACAAAATCGTATTTGTAGGATGGAAACTTTTTGAGGTGGAACCGCCCCCCCACTGGCAAACTAAAGCAAATCAATTTTTATCCGACATCGATCTTTTGACGTCGTCCCTTAGTTGAGAACCTTACAATCAATATCAAAGTAAATTAGAAAGAGAAGACAATTGGATGTTATATAACGCTTGATAACTTTTCCTTCTGACTTTGTCGGTGGGTAGATAATATTTAGTTTGGTGTAATTTTATTGAATTATAAAGAATTTCGTTTTCACACTACTTCAACAATTATATCACGACCTAATATTTTCTCCAAAATCATATCTAATTTGCATACAGTACGAACTATAAAGAATTTGAGTTGTGATTCCAATCGCAGCTCGATCGACACGAGTCGGAGCACAGCGAGTTTGTATTCACGTCTTTCAAGTTGTGAGCGGCATGAACCGAGAACAGAACAGAACACAAATTATATATTGCCTTAAAGTTTGATTTCGCAACAATTGTTTATTTACACTTTGACATATTATACATGTACATAGTAAATGCTAGTTTTATTCCGTAGTTTATATTTAAAATTGAAAAAAAAAATCCCGATTATGTTCTTAGAGATAATTACATAACTGGAAGTTGGGACTTGATAATGTAATACACAACATATGTGCAATTAAACAGTTCAAGAAATTAACAACCATGGCAATAGTGTTCAATGTGAAACTATTCAACAACTGTTGGTGTTCTGCCTATTGCAAACGTTCAAGTTACTCGAAATATCATGAGTTGAAATTTAACGCATGTTGTTGTTCTCAAATTACTTCGCACATTAATATAATCTACCTTGACTGAGAGTTGTAGTGATAGATCTGATTAAAATCACATATTAGAATAAATTCAACGGCGTACACTGCCCCTCTTACTCCAGACTATGCAAATTGTTTCAGGCAGTTCTACATGTACCCACATCGTCACCCTCTCTGAAATATATTATGATATGGTATAATAGATAATAAATATTTCGATGATGAATACGCACTAAAATCAGGTAAAACTATTGATGTGTGAAGACTGATTATTGTACGTTCGGAAATATCACGAACCTGAATAATAATTGTAATGACTTTCAAGGAAGTAGCTCATCATACACTGGACAGTGAGCATGCGTCTATGGTCGAGATAACTCGACCGAATTACTCTTGTCACGTGATCTACAAACCGAACACATTCGGCAAAATACGGCGAATTACTAGTCGATGTTTTCCCATAGTTATATAGGTTGTATAGCTCCATACGTCGTGAGTACAAGTTGAAAATTTTAAAAGATAATTATTTGTTCGTCAGCAAAGATCCAATATCATGTAACTAGCCATTTATAGCCTTTTCTCGGCTCAGAACAGAACGAATACTATGCCATATGGTGTCGTATTAAAATCATTCTGAGATCGATTGTGCTAGTGTGAAAACCCCAAACGCTGGTCCCTAAAATTGGAATTCCCCAAGAAGTAATTCAGAACAGAGCGCCCCCAGCGACATGCTGCATTCAATCATCGTCATCTTCGGAACTAGACGAAGAGGACGATCTTCCCACGGCCAACGGATCCTTTGGGATTCTTCTTCTCCTTGACGATGGAGGGGACAGAATTGCATTTAATCTTCGACTGAATCCCGATTCGTCAGCTGGTTTTGTGACAAGAACCTACGAGGGAAAAGATAGAAAGTATTTAAATCTGTCATGTTGTACTCGTACCACCGCTGTGGTGTCTCCAAATATGAGAAAAATTGACGGACGGGTGTTTTAACGTCAGCATTTGGTTGGCTAAAAGCTCCCATTTTGCGACAGTCGTGGTATTAGTTCCGGTACATAAATAATTTGAGCTCGTGCTTTATATGACGTAATTGTTACACACGACCTAAAAGTATCCTATGACTCTCTGCCATTGCTGCCACCTTCAAGAACCTTTAATAAAAGTTTGAAATTGTTGTTAAAATAAGTGAGCAATATTATATTCTGTTGGTTTTGTTCAAAATTGTAAAAAATGGCAAAAATGTTCACTCCGTTCCCGATTGCGGAATAAGCCAACACATAATTGTTGAGAACGTTGGTGATAGATCGCATGGTAACATACACTGGTATAATATGTACTTTAATATAGGTACGACAACATGGAATAGTATTCGTTTGTGTGTTACAGTACCGATTTTTAAGAAAACATGTCAAAGATAATTAAAAATTATTAGTGTTAGAACAGTTCCATAGAACACATTGTTTGTATCAATATTTAAATCCCAGATTTTTTAAATTCAGGATAATAAAAAGTAATTTAGTTGTTTCACCTAGCAGCCTACAGTTTTAGAAATATACCAGGACATCTACGCCATATGAACCAACGGTTCAACACCATATTGACAAAATGACTGCCTTTCACTAAAATATAACTACTAATGTCTTTAAAAAATAGATAGTAGCCCTGAACCGTGACGCTTTTAAGTCAACATCATTGTGTTGACCTGGAGTACAATTTAATGCAAAGGGAATAAATATCTGTTATTCACATTAACGCGTAGGCTTTCGCTTCATAAGTATCTCAAATAATTTCACATGACATAGATGTTTTACAGTGAATAAACACTTAAAACGGGTAATAAAACACCCAGACTTGCCTCCCACCATTCGCCGCTGAATTGGCGGGAAAGATTTGTCCAGTACGTTTGATGCCCTTACACAAATTCTGGCGAGAGACGCATGCTCACTCGACGCGGGTGGTCACGTGAAGCAATGGTTGATTACACTACATGAAGCCCTTACAATCAATGAGTAGAGTATTGCATTTGATCTTAGTGGTCATAGATACAAAGTAGCCTCAGGCAACAGCAAGGGTTAATGGGAACAAAAAATAGAAAGTAGATAAGCGAAAGTAATCGCAATATTGTCGCGAATTGGTTTTACCTTAGGCACAACGAATCCTTGTTTTCTGGAAGTTCTCGTGGCCCATGATGCAATGCGGCTAAACAACGGACTACTTGGTGGCGTCGAATTTGACGGTAAGCCAGAATAGGACAAACAACTTGACGAAAAAACGAGTTCCGATATTGTTCTGTCTTCATTCCGTAACCCTCCATACCCATTCGTGGCCAGAATATGTTCGGATTTCGATTTCTTTTTTGCGCCTTTTTTAATTTTTGTCGATAACATCTTCTTATTCTTTTTTATATGTTTTTTGTCCAGGTCCATGGCGCCAAGACTAGAACACCTTGATAGGTCGGGATCACTGCTGCATTTGACCCCTGATACTTTGTACATTTCATCTGTACATCGTCGAACTGCTTCCAGTTGATCGGCGAGTCGCATGATAAGAGACGAGCACATATGACGTCCACAGAAAAGGGCCCACTCGGCCGCACAGAATCCTCGCCGAAAGTCCCGCAAATCTGTAGAGGCTCCTGAAACGACGAGAAAAAACACATAGACAAACTATCATTAAAACATACATAAATAAATAGAAGCGCTGAGATAAGGTGGAAACACGGTGTAAATTATTATATGTTTGTATTCAAATTCACAGAGTTTATAAGTCAAATTATTTCGTTCGTTTTGGCGACGTTCTCATTTGGGCGTTATCGTAGTTTCGCGTTTATACATACGTTGTGACTGCTTTTTATATAATGGGGGGGGGGGCAGCCATTGAATTTATGGGGGAAACGAAGTCCGATGAAAAACAGTTTTCTGGGTTAACCGATATGCGAAAGCGACAGACAAATACTCTTCAAAAAAGGCTAGTCGCGATAAATTCAGGCAACTGTCATGAATTTGTTTTCGCGTATCTGTTGACCGACTTAATTAGCTGATTATTAGCTGAATTGCTGTGTTATGTCTGTCATCGTTTAGGCATCACTTGACAAAAATCAATATCTTCGAGACGATAATTGCATGTAAAGAAGACATTTGATAACTATTCATAAAGCAGAGAAATCTTTAAAACCTCTCTAAATACGGAAATTAGGACAAAGCTCATTTGATCAAGTTCGATTAAACCTGAGCAAAATTATCGCGAATTGTATTGGTGCCTTGAATTCTGAAATATGTGTGCTTTCTAAACAGCTTGCAGTTCATCGCCCACTATTGAATATAGACCAACAAACAGCACACCACCACTTGTTGAAGGGGTTTTCAATAGTCGGCATTTAGCTGAATGCGTTCAAGACACCCCAGTTTTCCAAACTTTATGCATAATGTATGAGCTGTCATGAATTTGTTTTTGCGTATCTGTTGACTGACTTAATTAGTTGATTATTAGCTGAATTGCTGTGTTATGTCTGTCATAGTTTAGGCCTATTTGAAGTTTTGGACGGAACTTGGCTCAGTGATTTGGAACTAATTACTAGATAACCGCCGCTATTCTGACAGTTGGTTTCTATAGTTATTAATGTAGTGAACGATTAATCAAAAGATATGACGTATTCAGTACTTAGTGTGATTGGTTTTATGATTGAAGGTTACGCCCTAGAGTCTTTTTACTGTTTTGTAATTGGTTAGAGTTTTGAAAATGAATAAAGAGAGTTTGAGTTGGTCTTGGCAAGTACTCCACGATAGACGCAGTCCTGGGCAGTCTGGAGAGTCCTGGAGAGCCTTGTGACGAGTGTTGACGCAGTCTAAGAGAGTCTTGGTTCAGTCTTGCAATAGTCTTGGGGACTTTTCCCCAGGGCGCTGTGTCTTATAGTGTGCTCGATTGACCGACTAAGACGATAGTTGAAACGTATTTCGTTGTGTGTGCCTTATTTGACTGTAAAGTATAAGTGACTTTCCCGATCCCGCACCTCGAGGGGACGAGATATAGAGACGAGACGAGATTCCCCCCTGACAAGTGTGGAGAACCCCGAGAGTAGGAGAATTTCCCCCTGATACAACATTCTCTGTTCAGCCTAATTCCAATTATATTTATTTCCCGCATCAGCTATATGGATCCGTCCGTATACTGCAGTGATTATTGGAAAATTGTTTTTCATGCGAAATAAATATATTTGGTCAATGGCAAGAATTTGAATATGAACTTTCTTGAGATTGGGGACTCGATAGAAAATTTACCAATTTCCAATTAACACTACTAAATAGACGGTATTTATTAGCCTGAGCAATGTTTAGTGTGATTACAAAAAGTGCACGTCTCGCATTTCTTCTCAATACAACGAGCGAGGTATTTTTTTTTCTTTTTAACGAGATCACTATTTTCTACTCTCACACCCCCTGTTCATTCAGTTTATAGTTTCTCAGTAATGAACGGTATAAAGGCGACGCTCGACGTGTTCTCTCAAGGTGGCTAATGAATTGTCCTTTATAAACTGTCGACTTTCATGACGTAGATGTTAAAGGAGACTCCATCGACATCCGTGAAGTTGAAACTAAGAAGGATATACCCATATATTGATGGCATTCAGAGGGAGAACACGAACTGATCAGCGTCACCTTTGCGTAAAACGTGTAACGACGACCCGCAGTCAGCTGGCGTACAAGTGATAATAAAATAAATGCGATTAATTTATCAATATTTACTATATGAAGGCCGCCATCTTGAATTCGGCATGAAACTAAATAAAAGATAATTTGAGAAATGAGTTTTTTTTTAGATTCCTACGAATCGTAGTTTCTGTATGGAAAATCCCTTGCATACGAACACCTAATTACACGAAGAACATAGAACATCCTGGTATATCATACATTTGTGTTATCTATTGCTGTATCATTAGTCATATTGGAGCGATAAGGAACGCAAATATAAAAAAACAAAAACAATAGGAAGTTACGTGGTGTGGACATTATCCTATTTGAGAACAAAGTGGCACAACGACGGAGTAATACATTTCATTATTATACATCTGTCACCGTAACGCCATAAGTTACAGCGTGCCGTAACTTAGAGGTATTTTACGGGGTATTTTCATCCTACCATATATGGAAATACGAATTCCAAATATGGAATGATTACGCTCGTAAGCGTCCCCTAATAATAAAAACAAACATGGCTGCCACCAAGGTTTGACCGGACTCTACACAAAAAAGTTCACTGATTCTGTTCTAAACTTTTTCGGAATTCACATGTATCCTTGGAAGGCAAAGATGTGTAATAATAAGGTTATTACGAGGATACCTTAAAGTATGCACTCAGACAGTACGCCGTCGTATCGACCGACGTAGATATTGCTGTTGTACTGTCCTCGTGCATACTTTGGGATATCCTCGCAATAACATCATAATCATAAACACCTCGCACAAATAACGGTCCACCCCTTACCTGAGAGTATAAGCATCTTGGCGGACCGTGCACGCCCTTGTATGGCCGCCTTAATCAGAGCAGTGAAGCCCCCGTAGTCTCGTTTATCGATTTCAACGCCTTTGTAATTAGTCAGAAGAAAATTAACGACTTCGTAATGTCCTGCGAAATAGAATATGGGATCCATAAGTCGACACCATAAACTATTAAACGTAATGAATGCAAAAGTCCTAGTTAAATAATCGCAGTAGCGTCTCCATATGAATAAAATAATGCTTAAAGCGGAGGGGTCGTCGCCTGCGCACGCGCGGGAATTGAGTCCTAAGCGACGTAACGCACACTAAAACGCAAAGGCTTATGGGTAGACGCTTGTTCGTGTACAGCGACACGCTATGGCCATCTGCCGCATGCGCAGGTGACGACTCCCCCTGTTTTAATCAATATAGGTATATTGTCTCAATCTTATCATTTCACTGATAATACTTTTGAGTTACTTGGTGACGCAGGTAATTTTTCCAGACTACGCGTGATTTGTCACGTGATTTCAATGTTAAAACTGGGGGTGAGGTGAACGATTCAAGGAAATAGAATACTGTTAAGTGAAGTGAAATCAATAATTTAATGACGACTGCATAATGTATGAATTGTGAAATACGTAAATTGAAAAAATCCGCCACCGCGAATATTTCAAACATTACTCGTCCAGCGTTCCAAATAGCATGACTGGTTTTGTTGGAATCCTGAGTCAAAATGAAATCCCCCCCCCCAACTTCTAGGGGTGGGGTGATGATGGGATATGTGACTGTATAGCCAGTTTGACGAAAATAAATACACGATCTTCACAACTAGTTGAGTCATAATTAATCTATTTGCGTGTCTCATTTCAGCTTACTGAATTTTCCGTAAACCTGGATGAGTTTCAAAATGAACGACACGCAGTGACAAAAGCTGCTTCCCCGCGAGAGCTAACGTCAACCGAGAATCGCTCGATATACGAGACTGTGACGGGAGATGCTGACATGGAATTCAGCAATAGACATACCGGATTAAGAATTTAATCAGAATAACAAGTAACAGTCATAGCAATCGGCAGAAGAGATGTTCAATATAAACCCGAGGGCAGTATTGCAATGAACACAATTACATATAGCGACATTTGGGAATTCCGAGTCATTCTAGTGTCATTCCTAACGAACTTCATACGCATAGAGGCTGACAGAAAAACGTGACGAGCCAAATAACGCAGACTGTATCTATCTGCATTGAGGATGTTAATTTTTATTTTATTTTTTAAACAAAAATTGACGTTTTCTTTGTGTGTGATTTCGTTACTAAAACAACAGTGAGTGTACGGCTTCGTGTTTTGTACCCGTCTCTACAAGAGCGAGTTACATTTAAGTAAGTTGTTTATTCACTCATTCACCGAAGATCGAACTCACTCAACCCTTATTTTGTAATAGTGTTATTCACTTATAAGTGAAGGACTATTAATGTTTTGGAGTATATTCTTATGATGCACTTTGGCAGAAAAAAAACGACTAGGAAGTAAGAACAAGTCCTTGCACCTGACCACGGAGCAGCAACAAATAGAGTATAAACGCAATAGAACGTACTACGAATAGTAGATAAATACACCTTTCTTAAAAAGTCGCGCTCACCAGCGACAAAGTGCGCATTTGATGACACGATGTCGCAGACAAGTGAAAAACAATGTCGTTCAAAGTTACAATTTGTGTGTGGCTGCTTAGACGTTCGGATTTTAAAATAAAGCTAATCTTTCGAAAGTGTTATTGATGACGTTATTGTCATTAACACGTTATGAACGTGTGTAAGATATTAATTGCTTCGCACAAGATAGCGTGGTAGAGTGGAAAGCCTGCACATCTTTTTTAACCTGGCTACCCTGCTTAAATAATGACCTCTCCTGAATGACTATAACATAAGACCGTAGTTAGTAATGCGCACATTCATTGGTCGTTTTTTTAAGCGGGAGGATCGCCACCTGCGCACGCGCGGGAATTGAGTCCCAAGCGACAATAACAACACACGCTAAAACGCTAAGGTTCATGAGGAGACGCTTGTTTGCAAACAATGACACGCTATGGCCATATGACGCATGCGCAGTTGACGACTTCCCCCGCATTAACTGAGTGGTACGACCAACATAGCTCACCTGCCTGTGCTGCAAACATTAGCGGGGTTGTGCCTTCGTTATCGGCCTGGTTGACGTCGATCAGTTCTTGCATATTTTCTAAAAGCCTGAGAACCGGGAGAAAACCACTGCTTGCAGCATAAGCGAGGCCGGTCTGTAGAAGGGATCAAACATAGACGTGGTAAGAAGGGATGAAAGCCATGAAAGCTCATGACCTTGACAATATGCTGACAGCAAGATATATTTAATTCGGCTTTAGATTAACAAATTTGAGTCTAATCTGCTCTACCACATGATTTCTGAAAAAAATGAATTAACGAAGGTTAGATGCATTTGAGATGTGTGTTTTTTGCGCACTGTACAAATTACTGCCAGGACGTACTATAATACCCAAGGAAACTGACAAGCTTGCCTAATTTGGTCATAATATTAAAACAATATTTTGTAGAATACTCTAAAATGTAAGATTGCACTTTACTTGTGAAGTCCAATTCACCCAATGCATGACTGAGACAAAGACACAGACGTAAACTTGATATAAAAACTATAGCATCGTTGATAAAGGTCACTTATTCAAATCACAGATTATAGAGAGCGCGACAATTTCGACAAGTGTTTAATCTTCTTCGAAACGTGTACATGTGAGAACTAAACTACGATCGATATGACAGCCTGTAGGATGTAACATCACTACGGCGGGGAAGGGGTCGAAACACGTTTGTAAGCGCCGACGTGATTCAATTTATTAGTCTGTTGTTGGAATATAAAATAAACCAAACTGAAAATAGTTAATTATAGAAAACAAACACAGATAGTATCAGGTACCCAACCACATGCACAGTATGCAAGTGTAAGGTTTGAACAAACCAGAATGATCTTACCTACAAAGTAGGTTAAACATACTTCATATACACATTATATGCAAATTATTTTGATGAGTTGATGTTTACATGTATGCTATTAATGAAGATTTATGCATAAATTACCATAACGAAATCATGTACGCACATTTCGTTCACACGACGTTGCAGTATTGTTTAGGATGAGATGTTGAGTTGTTCGAGTTACGGTCATCGTGTTACGAACATCGGGTTACGAAAATACTGAATTACAAAAACGACCACGCGGATATATTAAAAAAACACGCCCAAGTTTGCGAAACCACGTTCAAATTGTAACTCGATGTTCGATTAGCAGTCAATAGAACTTCGAGTTACGAGCAGCATATATTTTTGTTTTTCTTGAACGTCTACATTTAGTAACTCGACCTTTAAATAACAGTTGTCGCGCCTACCATGCGCGAGATATATGGGTCTCATATAAACAAAGATGGAGACTTTGACTGTTGTACAAATCAACGAGTACAAACTGAGACGTTACCGAGATTTAATTAGATATTTTGTAGGTAATTGGAAGGTATCGAAGGAGTCATCGACGGTAATTAGTGCAAGTCGCGCCAACGTCAAACCTCATGCTTGAGATTTCCATTAGAAGAGCGCATTGGATTGTGGGAAAATCATTTTTTATCAACACAAATGTTGCACATGCGCAGCGCAAACACCGCCCTTAACCGAACTTTGAGTAACGGGTTGTTGTTTCGTTTAACGTTGCATATTTCCCGTAATTCGAAGTTCGGCTAACTGATAATTAAAATTCGAGTTACTAAATTTGAACGTTAAACAAACAAAAAACTATGTTGCCCGTAACTCGAAGTTAGGCTAACTGTTAATTACAGTCCAAGTTACTAAATGTGGACGTTATATATGATGCCCGTACGTGAAGTTCGGTATACTGTTATTATAAAGTCTGACTTACAAATTGGGTGGATTTCTGAAATATGGGAATCTTGTTTAGAGTCACCAACTTGCATGTTTAAAGTAGACATTATAAACATATTAGAGGAATGTTATAAATTATATTGTAGAGTTTGCATGAGAAAAGGGAGAGGAGGAACTGGTACTTGTGTGTACATGTAATATATGGTTCATGTATACTTCAAGTCTACATACATTTTTCATGTAGGTTCGATGAACACTTTTCAGTAACTGTAGTTACTGTACTTGATGTATCGTTAATTATATGTATTATTAATTAATGTATACACCATGTAGTGTTCATGTCTGCAAAAAATATACATTCAAGCTGATCGCTTCACACCACATTGTCTCTTCGTGCCATCATACAGTCATTTCGTACCACACCTTCACTTTGTCCGTAGCAACCACGTGGTGCGAAGTTACACTGTGATGCGAAGAGCCTGGGGGCGAAGATTTTTTGGTACGAAGTGACTGTAATTGCAATCAACAAGCACTTACAAAGTTTATTTGCTTTCAGCCAAAGACACACAAAGTGTCCCTCAGTTCCCTCCAAGCCAGCAGCCATGTAACAACCCCTGAAATATCTTACTTGTACAACCTACATACACTATTATAATCTGTATCATATAGGGATTATAATCAGTGCCCAGTAATAAAACAAAACACGTAGAAGTAATTGATTCACAATAAACACGATAATCTTATTCTGCATCTCCTAAATGCACAAATAATGTAAAATAAATAACAAAATAAATATATATTTAAAGTACAATACTCTCTTTACCTTTCTGCCAATGTATTACTGTGATATTTATCATTTTATTATGTTTTTGAGACGGGTTTATCTCTAATGTGTTGCCCTTTGTTTATTAGACATTTTTATGTTTGTACAATTTAAGGTGAGAAATCAGGCAATAGTTAGTGAATTTTAGGATCCCATTATAAAGTATTAAAAATGTAAGTACACATGTTAATGTGCAGCTTGTATATATTGAATAAGTGAAACAGAGCGATGGTAGAACTTGATTTTGTTTATGTTTGGTCTTAATGTAGATAGCATCTAGCTCGTAGTCATGCAAATCAAGGATTAGTCTAGCCTGGGTTTCATTCTTTAAGCTGTCTTGTATTTCGTTGCAGATAATTCCACCCGTAAAATCCCGTAAATATATTTCCTAGCTTATACATATGATAAACTAAATTGTGTTAAATCAGAACGTAAGCCGTTATGAGGGTTAAAGTGACTGGATGACAATAAGCGCTCTGCTTGCTGCCAAGTTTCAAATGATGACATCACATATTTACGATAGAACGCTACATGAGAGTAAAAAACATTGTCATTTTCCTCATGTTTATATTTTTAATATATATAAGATACAGAAAATGAAATAAGCTATGGGGTTACCGTACTCGATTCAGAAAAAAATCGATGTAAACAATGGATTGAAAATAGCTTGTTTTGTTTGTTGTAGGGCATTTTACTATTGTTTTCTGTGACAAAGATTTACCTCAATATATTAACATTTTTGATATGATAATATTTTTAGTGTTTTTTTTATTAAGGAATTGTGTTTTCATTGTGGTATATATGTAAACCGTTGATAAAATGACGTTTTATTCATATTATTTCAGCGTTTTCATAAAAAAAAAAAGAATAACATTGAACCAAAAAACAAGTCTACACAATGTCAACTGATGCTGGAACAATTACATGTTGTCTGATTATGATACAAAATATTGTCACTGCTATAAAAGCTTAAATATGCATATATATGAAAAACTAATGAGTACCACACTACTTTATACAATGTTTGATCATTATTATATATCTTTAAAGTGAACAGGTTGATGTCAAACACATATCTGGCATGTAACTACAAAAACAGTATGCATGTACCAAATTTTAATCTATTTGAGCAAAGTAATGCTAGAATATTCACAAAACATGAAAGTAGTCAATTAATATGCCAATTAGCTAGTTAGCATATGCATATTGATTGAAAAGTAGTGTGTAATATTTAACAACAAAAATAGAATGCATGTACCAAGTTTTAACCAGCATAGACACACTATTACTAGAATATCATTACCAACAAAACATTAAAGTAGTTAATTAATAATCAAATCAGCTGGTTACTATATGCATTTTAATATGCAGATAAGTATTTACCAGTAAACGAAATAAATATGGGTTTAAATTATACTAATTATAGCAGTCAAGTCGCTCTATATGAATAATGATTTATTTCAACACAGACATTCTCATTCCCGAAGATGTTAACTAATTTCACGTTTCATAGTCTCAGTGGTTTAATTATACATCGTGATTTTACGCGGCACAGCACAGCACTACACTACACAGACACGAGTTTATGCTACAATTAACCCAGCTCATGTCTGACATATCAGAACCATCAGGAGGTCAGTGAGATGAATCTCAGAGGTCACATCGTCATGACTGTTTGATAAGCATATTTATACACTGTAAAACACACAGACTCACGCGTGTTTAAATAAGTCAAAACGTATAACGTATATTTAAAAAAAACAATTAAACACGTCTTTCAATACGGAAAATGTCACAGTAACTACCAAGGTGAATAGGTTATATATTCAACAGTTGCAAAATTCTAACTTTGGGATGATTTTATGTATTTAAAACATATTCCAACCACACCAAATTAAAATGGTAGATCTCGATATTTCTGGCTACACAAAGTGATAATTCCCAAGACCCAATTAGACGTATTCCAAACAAACGTATTGGAAACACATCAATTTTGTTTGTACCGCCCCTACATTTAAGAATGAAGCTACATGATGGGTAATACACACAACATGGAGGCTGTGTTCTCTACATTGTAAACTGAAGGTTTGACTGAGAGATTTGTTTATATTACAACAGTACTGTCTTACAATACATTTTTCTTGAGAGAGCACATTGGAAGTGCATAATAAACTATCGTGTTGTCAGTTTTTTTGATTTGAACGTTATAAGAACGTGCTGCAAATAACACATTTTGTGAGTATAGAAAACACCACAGGACAAATCCGTATTAAATACATCCAATCAGCGACTGCGTTACAGCTGGTGATTTTTTGCATTAATGAAGACAAATCCCTAACATAGTCTTGTTGCGTTTCCGTGTGATTTCACTTTTTAATCGACCAATGTCTGAATATGTTTTGCTACTTTAACAGTTATGTAATAGGTTCATACTACATGTATAAATATTTGTATCCACAAAATACTCTCTGTGTGTTACACATTACATGGACATGTTCATATATTTAAATTATCATTTTTTTCATTAATGTGACTTAATTTATTAATTTATTT